AAGTTAATTACGAGGTTTGGTACGATTCTCTTTTGTTATTCTATAGTAGGTGGGTGGGGTGGTGTACTAATAAACTAACTAATAGGTCGTCGTATTATTATAATTACTATAAACTACTTGTTGTGTGTGTGTGTGTGTGTGTGTGTGTGTGTGTGTATATAAAATGCACACACACACCCATTCTCAAATGCATACTTGAAAACAATATGAACTATTTTGTGGACAACCAACACAGTATGAAAAAAGTAGTCTTATTGATATACATTATTGAGTACAAATAGACTGATAGCTAAGGCAAATTGTAAATTTCCTTATTTTTATCTATAATTTGATTCTTACAAAATGATACAAATCCTATAACCCGAGTGCTTTCGAAAGGTCCACCTTTCGAAAATGCTCAGGTTATAGGTTTTTCCATTTTGTATTAAGACTTCTAGAACCTATGTGTTTTTCTGACATCATGAATAATTTTATTATTATATATTTTTAAACACAACTAACTAGAATGTAAAAATTAGAAACTGTCAGGTTATATAATAAAATGTATATAAAAAAAAATTAAATAAATTTATATGATCTCACAGTGCACACAATTCATGTGGTAACATTCATATTTGTGTAGAAATTTCCTTAAATCAGTTTTCTAAACTTGAAGACACTCTTCATACTACACCTAGCAGAAAAGAGGAATTTTACTAAATATTTATAATGATCCTGCATTTTTTAAAACTCAAACAATGGCCTAAAAGAAAGTTAAACACGTGTATTTTTTTTATCATCTGTAGTGCAAAAAGCCGACAGACTTGTCTTGAAGTTGTCAGAAAATCCTTTACATCAAGGTATATGTACGATTTTATCATTGAAAGGTGAGTGGAATCACAAATTTATACATGTAGTGATTGTACTTGGTTATGGGCTTTTATTCTAAAATAAGTAGCAAAGAAACACAACAGACTTCTGGTATTTTCTTTGGAGGTTATTCTTAGAAGGAATGTAACTGAAAATATGTTAGACAATTTAGCTGTAATGTTAGAGTTCATCACTGGCATTAAATCATAAGGAGCTGATTCTTATTTTTATAGATAATCCTTAAAATGGTGTGTTGTTTTTCAAAATATTTGTTTAAGAACACTGGTTCTCATAATTTATGAAGAAAATTTCATGAATTTGTGTAATAAAATACTGTTGCATTGCTATTAAGCCAATAATTTTGTTATTCTCACAAAATTGAATAAATTCACATAAAAGTCTATGGCTGAAACATTTTTTATACTATTAATTAGTCACAAAAGAATATTGAATAGGTTGTCATTTTTACAATTTAATAATTTAACTTAATTTCCTTATAACTCGGAAGTGGAAAAGAAGTGATAAATTGATTGGTTTTTTCTTCTTTTTTATAATTTATTAATCCATAGATTTCAGTAACAAATATCTTAATTCATAAGTTATGAGATATATTTGAAGATCATGTGATCGTTTTTAGGAAAATGACAATCACTGATATGCTAGAGAGAAGCTTAAAGAAAGGAAAGGGAGAAGAGCAGGGAACAGCAGCCATTTTAGCAGCTCTAGTGTGTATACATCTTGGTGTAGGAGATGATAGTGAAGCTTTGTTTCATGAACTGGGTCCTATATTTTCACAGATTGTGGCTGACCGTACTGCTTCACCTGTTGCAAGAGATAAGGTTGGTTACAAAATGCCATAGAACATGAATTCATTGTTTACAAGTTTTCATTGAGACTAAAATTGTCTCAGAAATATCCTAAATCTGTTGGATTCTTAAATGAGTTAAGAAATAATATCAGTAGTAAAATCCTGCATTAAAGTAAAAATAAATGCGTATGTGTGTGTGTGTGTGTGTGTGTATATATATATATATATATGTGTGTGTATATATATATATATATATGTGTGTATATATATATATA